ACCTCCAACTCCTGGGCTCAAGTGAGTCTCCTGCCTCTGCCTCCCAAGTAGCTGGGACCACAGGCGCCCGCCACAGCGCCTGGCTATTTTTGGGTTGCAGCCCTCATTGTTGTTTTGGTGGGCCCGGGCTGGATTTGAACCCGCCACCTTTAGGTGTATGTGGCTGGCACCTTAGCCACTTGAGCCACAGGTGTCGCGCCTGTTTTAGGATTTTAAAGAAAAAATAACTGGCCAGAGAAACCAAACAATGAGGGATTAGATACAGTATAGCAAAACACATACATACATATACACACACACACACAAACACAAAAAAGCCTAGCAGTTTAATCATTTAATGCTGCCATTTAGTTTCTGGAGAAGCAACTCTCCTTTGTACTTTACACAGCAAGATTACCAGTTTCTCATTTGGACCCGTGGGTCTTGAGGTGCTGACAAAGGGCAAATTGAGCAGCTTATATTTCAAACTGAAAACAATTCCTCGAAGTTTTTGTTTGTTTGAGATAGGGTCTCACTCTGTCACCCAAGCTGGAGTGCATTGGCACGATCATTTTCACATAAGAATCTTAGACTGATTTCTTAGATGAACGTCTAAGCTTGTGCAATACTCTTGCCCCAGCCTCCCAAAATTTATCGGGGACTATGGGTATACACCACCAAACCCAGATGATTTTTTTTTTTTTTTTTTTTTTTTTTGTGGTAGAGACAGATTGCTCAGGCTAGTCTTGAATTGCTGGGCTCAAGTGATCCTGTTGCTTCAGCCTCCTAAAGTGCTGGGATTAGAGGCATGAGCCACTGCACCTAGCCCCTAGAAGTCTTTGTAGGTCCTACCAAGGTCCGAAGTGCTTAAGGAGAGGGATTCAACATACAAAGCAGAAGCATGACCCAAATTCTCAGAACAAGGAAAAGAAAAGCGTTCTCACAAGACTGGAACTTACAGGCGTGTTGCTGCTTCAGTAGAAGTTTCATCTCCCTCAATCCGGTACACTTTCCCATACATTACATACTCAAATTGATCAGCCCTGTGGAACAACAGTGGCAAAGATATTCTTAATAGTAATTAATAACATGAGAGACTCTTTTTAGAAATGGTAACTGGTAACTAAATGCCAGCATAACAGATACTACGAGTATGTCATTTACACCTCATAGCAGCCCTATGAGTTAGATATGACCATCTTTATTTTACTAATGAAGAAACAGGCTGTAAGAGGTTAAGGTTACTCAAAAAATAATTGATAAGAGCTGAGAATTGAACTCAGTGAGGCTCCAAAGCCTTTCCATCACACCGAGCTCCCTCCCAAGAGATAACACCCACACAGCCTAGGTAACTCAGCAGTCATTTCCTCACCCTTGAAAAAGCTGCAACTCAAAAGCATGTAATCATTGCTATCAATAAACATCTGGTTATTTGAATGCTTAAGTGCAAAATTTTTTCCTTAAAGTTACTCAGACTATGCTGATCATCACTTAATTCAGAAATTAAGAATCTTTCTGTATCACTTATCTACTTAGTCCTCAGGGTACACTGCTAATACTTCCTTCTCCACTACCTCACCTGGAAGGCCTGTCATCAGTGGGGTTGTATTCACCATCATCCAGGGTACCATCTTCATACAAGGTACTAGCTATGACCAACCGAAACTTGTCACCTGAAAATAACAGTAGTATCTGAAGGTGAACAGCTGAAGCAGCAAAAACCTCTTGCTATTTACTGTCTGTGTTCAAAACTTACCTAAGTCTACAGGGTAAATCTGGATGTTTACATCTAAGATGAGATCCATCTTGAAAGATTCACTCTCACAATGCAATCGAGACACTGGGGAGAAGTAGGAAAAGAGTGATAGAGGTAATTGCCAGGTCCAGAGCCGATCCTACAGGTCCTAATTTGGGGATTATATGCAACAGAACACTCAATCTAACCTAGTCTACATCCACTGGTCTCTCATCCACTCAATCAGAACCAGATATGCAGGAAAAGGGGAGAAAAACTAAGGCAAGGGAATAGAATACCCAGAAAAGAATCAAAGCTGCGGCAGCAAATAATATGCAAGTTCTAGGCCTGCCTGGATAATTTAGGACCTTACTCTACGGGAAGTTTTTCATTCATTCAAAAGATTCCTTTCTGTGCTATGCACTGTGATGAGGGGATTATCATATCACGATGTACAAGAACTAGTGTCAGTCTTGGAAAACATGTCTCCAGGCCAGGTGCAGGGTTACACGCCTGTAATCCTAGCACTCTGGGAGGCTGAGGCGGATGGATTGCTGGAGCTCAGTTGTTCCAGACCAGCCTGAGCAAAAGCAAGAACTCATCTCTACTAAAAATAGAAAAACTGAGGCAAGAGGATAGCTTGAGCCCAAAAGTTGGAGGTTGCTGTGAGCTATGGCACCCTACCCAGGGGGAAAGCTTGAGACTCTGTCTCAAAAAAAAAAAAGTCTCCACAGAGGAGAGCAACTCATTTTAGTTCAAGTTGGGGAGAGGGAAAATGAGGGAGGGGAGTTTGGGGTGCTCTCACTTAATGGGCACAATGTAGGGGTGTATGGCTCAGCTTTTGGGTGTGAGACACAACTACAAGGACTCTACCTAACAAACTCAAATATTGTGACCAAGTTGTTTGTACCCTCACACTAACCTGAAATTTTAAAAAAAGAAAAAACGTATCTCCAGGAAAAGAGATACCAAGGGGAAACAATTGATCAATGACAGAATAAAGAGTTGTATACTAAGTAGTTAACTCTAACTCACAGAATACTTCGCAAAGAGCTAAAGATCCTGAGGACAATACAGGAATACAGGCTCTGAAATCACTCACTGTGCAGCCTTGAGTGGGTTAGTTAACCTTCCTGAACAAAATGGTGAAGGTATCACCTACCTCATAATAAGTAAATAAGACAACGCGCGTGTGAGATGTATGCACAGAGTAAGTGGTGATCATAAAAATAGTTAGGAGTTTGCCGGCACCATGACAAAAGGCCCCCCAGGCAATGGGAACCGTATACTCGAAACCAGGGAAAGCTCGGAGTCCGTTTTCTCACTCACAAAAGGTTTCCCCGAGGAGGGTGACACCTGTGGCTCAGTGGGTAGGGCGCCAGCCCCATATGCCGAGGGTAGCGGGTTCGAACTCGGCCTCGCCCAAACTGCAACAACAACAAAAAATAGGGTTCCCGAAAAAGGTCCCTGCATTTGGATCTGCCAGTAGGAGCAGACCACACGAGATGGGCGGTCATGGGACCCGTCCCGAGATTAGCCTCTTCCCCGAAACCGCCCCTACATACCTTACCTCGGTCAAACTTCTTGCCCTCCGGATCAATATCTTTCACATCGAAAATATCCTCAAAGAGGATGCCGGCCATCGTGATGGGGATAAGACAGCAGTAGAAGCCCTGAACATACGACCACCACTGGTGGTACGTGAAAACTACTCACGTGGAGAAAAGAGAGGGCAAAAACCGCCCCAAGAAAGCAGCAGCAGTAAAGAGTGGCGCATGCGCGTGAACCACAGTACAGCGACCACTTCCGCCACCTCCCTCTCTGGGCTTAACTTCCGCCCTGAAAGACTGCTTGGGAGAGGCTTCAGCATTGAGGGCGGGGCTTGGGCCCAGGTGACTCCGCCTAGGGCGGGAAAACAATAGGTCCAACCTCCGGCGGTGGCGGGGATTCTCGCTCTCCGCTAGGACTCCACTGCGCCCTCTTTACAGTCCCGCCTGGAATTCTGGAATGCGTGGGGACCTAACCCCCGCAGAGACCTTGATCCTTGGCCCAGGAAAGCCCGGCCCTAGCCCTACCCTGCCAGACCGCGTGCCCGCGGAGGGCACAGTCCACGCCGAGGGCGGGTGGAGCAGAATCCCGCCTCCAGAGCGTTAGACCGGCAGGGAGTTCTGTCCAGCCCCTCCAGCTGGCACCTAGCTCCCTACGGCCGGCCTGGACCAGCTAGCCCTTCTGGACGTCACCTGAGCCGGGTCGGTCCATGTTGGGAATTTGCCATGATGTCACTAATAGGGAAGAGGAAAACCTGCATTGTCGCCTCCCCTGGTACTGCACCCTTCCCACCACTGCCCTCCCCCACACCGTCCTTGCAACCTGGCACTCTCCCTGCCTATTGCCCCTCCAGCTACTGCCGGTTTCCGCCACTACTGCCCTCTCCTAAGCACTCATCCCTATGTGCCCCTTCCTCCTGACACTCTGCTCTTCCTTGGATACTAACTCTTCTCCTTTTCTCCTGGGTGCTGGCCCTTCTCTCACACTGTCCTTTTACTGTGCACTGACTTCTACTCCGACCCTATCTCTAACACTGCCTATCCACCCTGAGCTCACCCAACCCCCTGTTCTATCCTTCCCCGGACCCTGATAGAGACCGCGAAGCACCAGCATGCCATTCCCTCAAGGCGCCGAGACGTCAGCAGCTACTCGGGTTTCTCCTTGGGCCCAGCCAGGGAGAAGCGACCTCTGCTCCCCCACGCCTGCCTCCCGCACCTAGAGCTCCCTTCCCTCCAGCCTCACCCTTCCGCGTCTCCTCCCCACCTCCTCCTCGCACACCCCTGCAGGCCTAGTTGCTCCCGGGGCACCTCCCAGGAAGACTCGCCGGGAAAGGAAGGAGAAAGGGAGGGGATGAAAGAGACCGCCCAGAACCCCCCTCCGAATCCTCCCAGATTTGCTTCACACCCCAGACGGGGCAAAGGGGCCTTCCCAAGCCCGACTGAGCCGCTCGTCTTTCCGAAAGAGCAAAAGGGGGGGCTGCTCCTGACGGGCTAGCCCAGAAGAGTCTGACTAGAAGGATCTGCAGCCCCCGACCCCAAACCAGACTGAGCTCAGCGTCTCCAGCTCCTCCCGCCCGGGCGCCTGGAGCGGGGAAGCCGGCCCGGCCCCTCCACGTGCCAGCGGCCCCGCCCCCGTCTCTACCCTCTGCGCCCCTCTCGGTACCCGGCCTACCCTTATGGGGGCATGGGCTCCTGCGGCCCAAGCGCCCCCTGCCGCCTCTCTGGAGCCCCAGAGCAGACCCCAGCCCAACTAGGGCGGCCCCTCTGGAGGGGCCGGCGGGCGGAGCAGCACAGAGGGCACCGCCCTCGGCCCGCCCGCCTAGGAGGGGACGCGAGCGAGAGGCTGCGCCAGCGGCGCCCGCCCGGGGCCCGCCGCACTCTGCACTCGGCCACCGGGGCTACGGGGACCAAACGGCTGCCAGCTCGGACTCTGCCGGCCGAGAGCTGAGCCGGAGTCGCAGAGGGAGGCCAGAGGGCAGTGCGCGGAGATGGCGGCGGCGGCGGTGGCAGCGGCAGCGGAGGAAGGGATGGAGCCGCGGGCGCTGCAGTACGAGCAGACTCTGGTAAGTGAAGCCGAGCCAAGCCCTGAAGAGTGTACTCCGAGTCGCTGCTTCAGGTTACCCTTGGAATAGCTAGGACGAGGACTTAGCCTAACCCCACCCCAGACGTTTAAGCTGGGGAAACTGAGGCTCAGGAGTCTGAGAGGCTTCAGGGCCAAAGGGATGGAATGCTGCATGATGGTTTCTGGCTTAGGTGGGGTCCTGCTGAGGACAAGGACGCCAGGTTTTTGTCCCAGGTGTCCTTCCCTTCACTCCCCACAATACACATTTTCTTTGCTCCTTCTTCCTGCCACCTAGGCCTAACTCTCAGCACCCCACTGGCCCTCCCCAACACCACTGACACCACTGAACTTTCTCCACACTTCTGTGTCCACCCTCCAAGACATTCCCTGTGTCTCTGCCTTGTGAGTGACACTGTGCTAAGCTTGGAGTCCAGAGTGTAGAAAGATGATCAAACCTAACCCCAACCCCTATCCCTGGGTGCTCAACACCTAACTCTGGCAGAAACCCCTCAATTGGTACTATGGAAAAGAGTGAGGCACAGGAGCTTTAGGGAGAGTGGGTCAAGCAGGAATGGGTGTGGGGATTGGGACCTTCATCCATCCAGGTCCCACTACCCAGGAGTGACCCTTGACCTCATTAGAAGCAGGGGTCCCAGGCTCTGAGTTGACTCATGGCCACCACTGTTACTGAGAAGTTATTTGACTCTTCTCATGTCACTGGAGTGGAGGACCGAAGCCCTAGGAAAAGGAATGGGCTTGAGTCCTTTTTACCAGCTTAGGCTGGAATTTGCCCAGGAAGGTGGCAGGGAGGAAACCTCTCAGGAAGAAGACCTGGGCTATAACTGAGTCTGGGAGGTGCCTAGGTACAAGAAAGTGACTGGGTGAAGAAAGGATGACAGGGTAGGGGTAGAGCAAGCGTCAAGGGCCAAGCCCTTGGGATTAGGTGGGAGCTGTCTGTTTATCTGCACGGGCTGGGGATAGGGCCATTGGTGGAGGACGCCAGACACCTGGCCTCTGAAATGGTGCCTCTGTTGCACCAGCAAGCCACCTCTCCATCTCCTTTCCTCTATCTCTATCTTTGGAATGAGCTGTCAGGGTCAAGTGGACACTCTGCTCCAGCCTCTCCCCCTTCCCCTTCTTATCCCTTTGTCTTTCTCTCTCACTTTCACCTCCCCCTCCTATGCTGTGTTTACCGCTTTATACTCTTTTCTTTTCCTCTCCCTACTTCTTTCCCTCTCATCTCTTTCTCTCCTCTATCCCTTCCCTCCACCTCTTTTCTCTTGTCCCCTTTCTCTTCTCTCTAGTTCCCTCTCTTCTCTGTGCTTCTCCCTTTACTCTCTCCCTATCTCTCACCCTCTTTCTGTCTCTATCTTTCCCTCCCTCTCCCCCCCCACCCCAGCCCCAACAGGAGCCCTTTGTGTCCCGAAGCTCTGCGGGTGGCAGCCGGAATCTACTCCTCCCCACCCCCCAACACACGCCCAGCTTGGCAGGTCTAGCCATGGCTGGGGCAGGCGACTGTCCCTTCCCATCACCCCAGTACCCACAGTGTCAGCCCAGCCATCCACAGCCTCTGCTGTCCCCCAGCCCGCCACTGGGCTCAAGGCAGATCCAGAGTGGGACTAAGGGCACCAAACACTCTTCACCCACCAGGAGAAGCTTTCCACTCCCAGCTGGGCTGGCAGGCTAGTGGGGGTGGCAGTGGAGAATGGGGACAAGGGGATTAGGGTGGGCGGGAGGGGTGTAGCTGAGTTGGTCACAGGCCAGAGGCCCAGCAGGAACGTGATAAGGATTGGGGCCTTGCCTACTGCAAGGCCCAACTCAGCTACCCCCAGCTCCATGAAGCTCTTATTGTTGCCCACATGCCCTTGACCATCCCTTATTCTCTGATCCTTTGTCCTCCCACTTCCAGACTGTGGCTTGGGTTTTTCTATCTTTTCCTTTCTGGGGCCTTCCTTCCTACTCCTCAGTGCCCCCGGCCTGGGCCTGTGAGAAGAGGCCCAATCATTCTGCCACCCCCAGAACTGTGTCCCTATACCTTTGCTGTTCCCATCGCTCTGGTCAGGACAGCCTCCACAGTCTGCAATGTGCATTGTTCCCATACCCTAAGCCAGAGTGGGAACTATGAGTCCAAGAGGGGATGTGCAATGTGGGGGCCAGGAGAAGGGGAGTCAGGCCCTAGGACTACTCCCTGCACCCCTACTCAGCCCATGACCACTCATGCTCCCAATCTTCTCTGTTGTTCCAGATGTATGGCCGGTATACTCAGGACCTTGGGGCCTTTGCCAAAGAGGAAGCTGCTCGGATTCGCCTGGGAGGGCCTGAGCCCTGGAGGGGTCCCCTGTCCCCTCGGGCTCCTCCAGAGCTCTTGGAATATGGACAGAGCCGTTGCGCCCGATGCCGCAGTGAGAACTGGGTTGGGACAGGGGACCTAGCTGTGCTGTGCTGAGGGGGACAGAGGCCATTTAGAGCTGCCAGTGGGAGAGGCTGGTAACAGGTAGGAGCACTTTGGTGCCAGCCTCCCCACTCTTCCCTTTCCTGTACCCAGTCTGTTCCGTACACTGCCACAAGTTCCTCGTGTCCAGGGTTGGTGAAGATTGGATCTTCCTTGTCCTGCTGGGGCTCCTCATGGCATTGGTCAGCTGGGCCATGGACTATGCCATCGCTGCCTGTCTACAGGGTGAGGGCAAGAGCAGGTAGGGGAGGGCTGAGAAGAACCGACCTACTTCCTCCATGCTACACTTTTCCAGGCATCTTGACTGCTTGACCACTGACCACATTCCCCAGCAAGTCTGGCTATCCATATTTAGGCATAATTACTGCCGCTCCCATAGACCACAACTTCTTGCCTCCCCTCTCCAACTGACCCCTTTACTTAAAGTGGTCTTTGTCCCAGTAAATTCCCTTAAGAGCCCCTTCCCTTTATTCTATGCCCGGGTTCTGTGAGATATTCCCTGAGACAACCTGTCACTTCAGTTTGTCCCAGTGGCCAGGCATAGAGTTGGTGTGTGCATCAGGGGTCCATCAATCAGCGTGTCCTCTTCCCACAGCTCAGCAGTGGATGTCCCGGGGCTTGAACACCAGCATCTTGCTCCAGTACCTGGCCTGGGTCACCTACCCTGTTGTCCTTATCACATTCTCAGCTGGAT